ATAATCTACCTCCACCAAAGATTAGTGATCAAGCAAGCAAATTCCCCAAAGCTTCGTTTTTCCTCTCTCTCAATCAATCGTTCTCCCTCTCTCTGTTCTTTCTATTTTTCTTATTCAACCCTTTTTCTTTTACCCTAATTAGCATATAATTAAGTATATAAGATGATTAATTAAGCCATTAATTAATTTAAGGTTATGTCCTTTAACCCTCAAGAAATTGGGTTATTAATATTCAACCACGAACTTTATAATTATAAGTAGGAATAGTCCAAAACGCCCCTTAAAACATTTAACAGAAATCCGACCCAGCCTGGGATTACGCAGTCTGTGACGGGCCGTCGTGCCTGCGACGGTCCGTCCTGCTGAGTCGTCACATAGTTCAGAGACTCAATTTCATCACAGGGTCTATGACGGTTCGTCGTGCCCACGACGGTCTGTCCTGTCATGTCATCACGAAGTTCAGAGAGTCGATTTCAGTACCCAAATTTCAGAATTCTAAGTGTTTTGGAATGAGACCCCCAAGACGGTCCGTCGTGCCCATAACGGTTCGTCGTGAGATCCGTTGACTTAGCCAGTTTTTTCAGATTTAAAATCTGCTGCTCAAAACGACTAAACAGGTCGTTACAAGGGGTTATTGTGCCCTATATGCAATCAGGTGTTATTGTGTCTTGTAAAGACATGAAAAATAAGATAAGGGTTATTGTGCCTTATATGCAACCAGGAATTATTGTGTCATGTGACGACTTGAAAAATAAGACCGGGTTTATTGTGTCATATATGCAACCAAGGGGTCATTGTGCCTTGTAAAAGACATCAAAAATAAGATAGGGTTATTGTGCCTTATATGCAACCATGGGTTGTATTGCTCTTTGAAGACATGAAAAATAAAATAGGGTTATTGTGTCATGTATGCAATCAGGGGTTATAGTGTCATGTGAAGACATGAAAAATAAAATAGGGGTTATTGTGCCCTATACGCAACCAGAGGTTATTGTGCCCTGAAGACATGTAATATAAAATAGGGGTTATTGTGCTCTATACGCAATCAGGGGTTATTGTGCACTGTGAAGACATGAAAAATAAAATAGGGGTTATTGTGCTCTATACGCAATTAGGGGTTATTGTGCACTGTGAAGAAATGAAAAATAAAATAGGGGTTATTGTGTCCTCTATGCAAGTAGGGGTTATTGTGTCCTGTGAAGACATGAAAAAATAAAATAGAGGTTATTGTGACCTATATGCAATCATAGGTTATTGTGCCCTGTGAAGACATGAAAAAAAATAAGATAGGATTTATTGTGCCCTATATGCAACCAGGGGTTATTGTGCCCTGTGAAGACATGAAAAATAAAATAGGGGTTATTGTACCCTATATGCAATCATGGGTTATTGTGCCTTATGAAAAATGAAAAAAAGATAGAGTGTTATTGTGCGCTATATGCAACCAGGGGTTATTGTGCCCTATGAAGACATGAAAAATAAGATAGGGTTTATTGTTCCCTATATGCAACCAGGGGTTATTGTACCTTGTGAAGACATGAAAAATAAGATAGGGTTTATTGTGCCCTATATGCAACCAGGGGTTATTGTACCCTGTGAAGACATGAAAAATAAGATAGGGATTATTGTGCCCTATATGTAACCAGGAATTATTGTGCTGTGTGATGACTAGAAAATTAAATAGGGGTTATTGTTCCATATATGCAACCAGGGGTTATTTTTTTAACTTATATTATTATTATTATTTAATATTATTTTATTTTATTTTTATTAGTACATTGACAAATCTAAAAAAAATGTCCCACATTTTATAAAAAAATAATCTTTTTATTGTTTTTTTGAATATTATATGAGAGACAAGGATTCAAAAATTTACCATCGCAGTATTTGTCTCTGGCGAATTACCTGCACGATTTGTCTTTATAGCTCCTTCAGCTTATTGTTTTATTTCTATCTTGATTGTGCTCATGCAAAAGACAGAATATCATCATTTGATCAATGATGTCGTTTGTGATTTTTTACCAAGTAGACATTCTATCTTTTTACTGTCATCTTATGGTTCTCGTGAGGGTTTTCACTCATATGACCCTCTCATTTTTTTATTTCTTTTTTTGTAACATATCATATGCTACAATGTCATGTTTCAACCCTTAGAGATTTGAAATAACATAATTATTATTTTATTAAATGATTAAATCGAGCCTTAATGAAGGGTTGTCTACGTATCCTCTTAGGAATCAGGTCGAACGTAGTTCAATAATAAAACAAAATTATTTTTCTTTTTTTTATTTATATATTGAAAAAATGTGAAAAAGAATCAGTTCATGTTTGATAATGTCTTGACTTTAGTTGGTACCAACAATTAGTATTATGCATATGAATCACATTCAACTACTTTCAAATAAATTTGAGGTCAACTTTGAGTAATTTTTATAATTTCGAATTGTATCTCAAATATGCTTAAGTAATTACAAGATCATTTATCTTGTCAAAATTAAGGGATAGAATTATTTGTATCATCATGTTTCAAATGCACTCGCAACATATGAAGTTCTACTTCACGCAATATAATAATTTAGATCGTACGACATTTTTTAAAGTCACTCAAACTCAAAAAGATGTTTAATGCATGTGATTGAGATATCATATATTTGGCCCTCATGTAAGCATCCACTAATGTGAGAACATAAAAGATGAGATCAAATAGGAATTGTCATTGTCTTGTAATGTAATCTTAGGGAAAAGTAGGATATTCATTCGGGATAAAGAGACTATTTCCTCCTTAAGAATTTGCACAATGCTTTTAATATATATTTTTTTCATTTTTGCATTTGACCTTTATTTCTTGTAAGCTCCTTGTCATTTATTACTCTCTTCCTTTTTTGATTCTCCTTCATTTTTGTTTGAGATTTTTTTCAATTTTTCATTCTATCTTCTTTTTTTTGGGACATATTTGGTATTTTTCACTTTGTTACCCAACCTATATCTTTGGCGTTATGTAGCTATTTCATAGTGCGCTCAAGGAGGTGAGACAAAGGGACTCAAATGGTATATGCTAAGATGTGGTTATTCAAATAAAAATCTTTCAGGCTCGAAATGAGAGTTCTATGGATAACATGTCATTCGGTAAACTTGAAAGACACAATCGAATCAAAGAAAGACGAACATATTGATCGCGCTTCAGTTGTATCTGTACATGAGGGGTCAATAATTAACATCATCAAAGGGTTTGGAATACCAGTGCTTTACCATGGCATCTTGTAGATGAGGTCTACATCCCAATTAACTGTGATCAAGAATTCCATTGGGTATTGGCTGTTGTTGAGTTGAAAAACAGGTTGATAAGGTTTTTTGACTCATCAATTAGCACAAGGAAAAAAATAATTCCTCATGAGATCAAGATGCTGTCTAAAATGCTTCCTTCATACCTACTTGACAGTGGATTTTTTGAAGAAAATGAACGCACAAAATTTGCTGATTGTCATGCATATAAAGACAACATTACTGGTTCACTTCGGGAGCCTCAAGTTCCTTTCATGATTGAATTTGCACAAGACATCCCTACACAGGATTGCGATAGCCTGTAAGTATCAAGAATTTTTCATTTGCACTTTTTAATGTATCATTAAGTTTTTAATTTATTCTGTATTTTTTTGTAGAGACTGTGGGTTATATGTTACTGCATTTGCCGAGTATATCAGTGACCAAATCAATATATCATATGCTAATTTTAGTCCTGATTACCTGCGTCAAAGATATGGAGCATTGCTGTGGAGTTATGGAAGTGAGAAGGCTAAGTGCGGATGTGTTAGCGACAATGATGATCCACCAAAATTCAGGGGTGTAGTCACACCACCACCAGAAGAAGATTTAGTTCATATAGTGTAGCATTTCATGATAAAATAATGTTTTAATGTTATATTTATTGTTTTTATATGTTATTGAACAACTATGTTTATCCTTTGTAATGTTATTTTTTTGGTTTTGTCAATTTCCATGAATATTTTTTTTAACATTACGTAACAAATATGTTTATATTGAAAATATAAATATCAGATATATTATAGCCCCACACAGGTTTAATTCATTTATTAAAGTATAGTCAAAGTATTTATAATTAAACATAGACATAAAGATTTTTAAATTTTTTATTTAAGGGAGATGATACACTGGGCAAAATAAAATGATACATATATACCAAACACACTAAAAATAAATGATACATTGGCTAAACCGTATGTATCATGTACAATATGTTACCCTATAATCCTTAAATTTTACATGATATTTAGGTAAATTGAATAGCATAGTTATATGAATTGGTATTATTTTTCAAAAGTAAAGTTATTTACTGTATATTTCAAGAAAAGCATAACAAAAAAAGCATTACACAAGTTAAATTATATAAATTCACATGATACATGATTTATAGTCATTGTAAAGTACACAATAACCTCAATAATATTTTTGTATTTAATATCTAATGGAGATGTATAATTGTGCAAATCAATGATACACACTAAAAGTACATGATACATTAGATAAACAATGTGTACCAAAAACACACAATAAAAGTACATGATACACTAGATAAACCATATGTATCATGTACATTATGTTACCTAATAATTCTTAAATTTATATATCTTACTGTCGCATAAGATTTATAAAATTTTATATTAAAAACAAATATTGACACAAGTATATCTATCAACACCAATAATAACAAAGTATTTATAATCAAAAGCACGACTTCAAATGTAATTAACACATGTTTGTAAGTTTATTTATCTAAACACAAAGTGTTCAATTTGCAGTTGTAATGAAAACTGAAATTCATTAAAATGTTTACGTTATAAATTATTCTTGATATCATAGAAACATTACGACTAATTCACTTCTCTTTTGGGTAGAAAGTACAAGATCTTCTGTTGTGCCCTTCTTGTCCACATTGTCCACAACAGTTTGTGTTCATCGAAATCTTTTCATCTGCATTCTTTCTTCTTCTTTTTCTTGGTCGTCCAGATGATCTTCTGTATCTAGGTGGATACACAATTTCAGCTACCACGTGTTTAGGATCTGACCAATCTTTGTTATCTGGCATTGGTACCATTGGAATTTCATATGTTTTTGCCAACGCATCAGGCTTGTAGTAATCAGAGCAATACGGATTCATATCGGTGACATTCTTTTTTTTCAATACAGCGATTGCATGTGAACAAGGTATTTCATCTAGTTGAAATCTACCACAACAACATACTTTCCGCTCAAGACAAACAATATATCTTCTTCCATTTTCATAAACTGAGAAATAAACTCAGATGATGGAACAACCTGTGTACATTAAAAATTTTAAATATATAACTTTTAAAAAACAAATCATGTTAAAAAAAGCAGAATGATACACTGAATTAGATACATATAATATAAAGTATTATATAATGATACATACCTCCCTTTTTGAACTTTTAGTCGCGTTTATAATCAACAATTCCTCAAATTTTCTACCTAATGTGTCCTTTGTGTATGAGGCTACTTCTCTGTTTTTGCAATGCCAAGATCCAAAAAGAATTCTAGCCTCTTCCAAAAATTCTAATATAGTTAATTGGCGTGCTTCAACAAGACAACCATTGATACATTCTGCAATGTTTGAAGTCATCATTCCACCTCTGTTTACTGTTGCATGAACTCTTGACCACTTTTCGTAACCTGCATATTCAAGGTACTCCTTAACCCTGTGATCAATTCTATCAACCTTAGCCATTAACTTATCAAAATATTCCTTTCTATATGCCTTGGCCATAGAGTAGAATAGATCACTTATGGCCTTTCTCCTCCTTTTGAAGTTTCCACATACATTCTTCCAAAAATGCCAGATGCATGCATAATGAGGTACATCGGGGAACACATTCCTAACACTATTCATGATACTCTCATTTCTATCTTAAACAACACACATATATTTTCAATCGCCAAATGCATGTTTGAACTGTTCGAAAAACCATGTCCACGAACAATCATTTTCGGTGTCAACAACACCATATGCCAATGGAAATATGCAACCTGATTACACACACATTATATTATTTGATACGTAATATATAAAAAGACATCATTACTATAAATAAAAAATACCTGCGCCATCAAGTGTGCTTGCTGATACAAATGTCCCTTTGTAAGCTCCACTCAGATGTGCACCATCCACAACAAATACTGGTCTGCAGTATTTAAATCCCCTAATGAATGGTCTTAAGGCAATGAACATATACATAAATTCATCCTCTTCTGTTTTATGCATTCTTATATAAAAATTTGGATACACAGTTTTTAACATGTGTATGTATCGCGGCATCCGTCTATATCCTGCAGATGGTTTTCCCCTAATTATGGAGAGTGCACATTCTTTAGCACGCCATGCTTGCTGGTAAGATATTTCAACCCCATAATATTCTCTAATATCATCAATTATATATCTTGGTGTATAAATTCGTTTATAATTGACCAATTTTGGAGCTGTCACTCCACTTACAAATCCGACTGTTGCTTGGATTTTGGTTAATACCCTCTCCCTCATCGGACACGTATGTTCACTATTAAAATTTCTAACAATGAATATATCAGATTTTTTTCCTGCACGACACCTTCATAGTCCAACCACATTTGTCTGAAAAGCATACCAACACATAGCTGCGTACGTTTTTTGAGCATATTAATACACATATCAAATGCATCATATAATATATTCAACAATAATGTTTAAAGTAATCAAACAATGAATTACACAAAAAGTATCAACCAATTTTTAAGAAAAGTATCAAAATTTAATGAAAAGTATCCAGTAGTTGTGATATGTCTGTTTAAACTGATACAGTCCTTACTATATCAGTAGTAGTATATTCAAGTATCAAAAATAGTTATTTCAATGTATCGAAAACAAATTTCTGAAATGATGATACATTAAAATATAAAAGAACATATGAGACATGCAGGTTTTCATATAAAATAGTAATGTTTCATGTACTAACTAAAATATAAAACAACACCTGATACATTAAAATATCAAAACACCGTCATACCTTTGTTGATCAGACCTCTTTACTTTGCAATTGAAGTTGTTCTTTATCTTATATTTCGTCATCACATCTACAAGTGTTGCTTTATCCTTATATATCTGACCTGTCTTCACATCAACAATATCTAAATTGATTATAACATTTGCAACTCCAACTTCTGCATTTTCATGTGACTTAAATAAGCTAGTTTCAACCATTGCCAAAGCCTGTGTATCATTTGTTATGCCTTCTACACACGTTATTTCTCCACTTGTTCCATCAAAGTTATGTACAGTACCACTATTCTTTTCAATTGTGTCAATACATAATGGATACACTGAAAATCCTGGCTCGTTTTTTTTCAGTTCAAAATACAGTTTAACACTCATATCGTTCTTAAGTTTCATCGGACAGGAGTTACCTTCTACAATGTATCGAATTTCAATTTCTTTCCTTGATACATCAATATCCAACTCGGCTGCAATTGTTGCTTTGAGATTAGAAAACGAAATTGAATCTCCAACAACGATTTCATCGATTTTGTAACTTTCATACTGCAATTCGTTCACCTAAATTCCAGAATGTCTCATTAAAATCGAAGTATTCATCTAGAAAAATCGACTGTAACAACAACAAAATTACTGTAGTTTCAATTTTAACAGACTATTTAAAAATTTTGTTTTCAAAATAGATGATATAATCTTTGATTTTCAAAATTTGAAATTAATATCCAATTAAGTGCTGATTTAATGCTGATTAATGATCTGTTACCACAATTTAAGTTGTTTTAGTAACAACTGTAACTGTACCATTTTTTTTCCCTATTTTTTCTTAACAGTTTAAAATTTCCATGTATCATTTACCATGTATCACTACAGTCTAAAGTATCACGGCTCAACAAATTTAAGGGATTTTTTGTAATTACTAAACTTGTCGGGACAGAATATAATTATTGAATTACACTATGGGATTCCTTAAATTTATTTGGTTTTAGTCTTTCAACCCAGTAATGATGAAGATCGAGCTTACTTTTCCTTGAAAGAAAAAACAATGACACCAATTCAATTCATCAATAACTACACTTCTTTTTAATATTTACTTGATGTGAAACTTTTTTAAATTTTAAGTTGTAGCACTCAAGTTGTTGTACATGAGTTTTTAGTACAGATTTGTATAATGTAATATGATTTACAATAAATAATTAGAAAGAATTTATATATATTATTAGAAAAGCTTGATGTAAATATCTTATATATATATAAATATAACAATTTTGTGGCGGTCACAAACCTCCACAAATTAGATTTTATGAATATTCAAATCATTTCGTGGCAATTTAAGCCCATTCAAGTATATTTTTTAGAAATATAAAAGAGAATATGGCAGAGGTTGAAAATCATTACAAATTGACATTAAAAAACCTCCACGAATTTAAAAGTAATTTTATGGTGGTCGTCATGGAGGTTTCTTAAAATCGACACAAATATGCTCGTAACATAGGTAATTTTGTAGCATTTTTCATAACTGTCGCAATGCTCTTTGTAAGGTCAAAAATTGCCTCAAATTGGCAAAATAACCCCATAAATTGAGCATTGTTTTTGTAGTAAGCATCAAACCTAAGTTACAAGTATCAAACTAATATTTCACGCAAATAAATCTTTTTTGAGCATCAATCGAAGATTAAAAGTAGAATCAAATTTTCAATCTTAACTCATAAGCTAATCCCATGTTAATAATCCCAAACACATGGATGAACAGAAATAAAACAGAGCATATATTTTTTTTCGGAAGGTGAGAGTTGCATTAGTTCTTAACTTATTTATTGGTTTACTTTTCGAGATCATGGAATCATTCTTGAAGTCAGGGCATCTTAATGAATTTGTT